GAACGGATCTGTACGAATACGATTACGATTCAAAGACAAGAGCACGTGTGTCTGTAGACGTGTGTATGTGTGTAGTTTATGAGTTAATACGCCGCGATGTGTACGCGCGATGCATTTTTTTTATCCGTTGACAAACGAATGGACGAACGTGACATGGTCGCGCTAATCAAAATCCGATGCAGCGACGACCGCCGATTAAGCGGTGGTCCCCTTCTGAACCGGCTCTCCGTCACGAATCCGCGATGAGGATGCGATCGGTCGATCGAACGGTTTTTGACATAGGTCCGCGATTGCGCTGACCTCTCTCTCCTATCTCCCTCGTGTGTATACTTATATATATATATATATATATACATATACATATATACATATTTATACAATGCTGTTCGCCCACGTCGATCGTCCCGGAGCGACACACAGTCGGCCGACCTCCCCACTTCTCCGCAGATCCGTTTAAAATATGAAACATGCGGGAGGGATGACAGCTAAAATCTGCAGGAAGTTGGTACAATGCAGTCAGGACTGCGGGCTACGCCGCGAGAGAGGAAGCTGGTCAATTGAAAACAGGGTGACCGAGTTTCGAGCTCCCTCTCTCCCCCTTTCCCATCTCCCGCGTTTCATCCGCAGCCGCGTTCTCCGCGTTATTTCACTGCCTTGAAAACCTGGCGCATCGACTTCTTTAGCAAAACCGCGTCTTCTCCGTCTCCTCCCCACTTTCCGTCTCTTGGCAGAATGCATTCTTGTATGAACGGGATGAGCCGTAAAGAAATAATCATGGCTCAACACATGCGCGTGAGAAAATACCGTCATCACGGTGACCCAGCTTACATGAAACTGCAATTTCTTCGCTAATGCAGCATCTCTGATTCACGTAAAAAGAATTCTAACGTGTGCTGAAAATAATCGTCATAAATAGGTCGACATTTCCTAATAAAAGAAGCGTCGCAATGAAGTCTTTCGATCGTTACACATTTATGGCGACATTTCGACGTTTTTATTAGATCCCGAGAACGATATTTTTTGTCACTCTATCGTATTGAAATTTCTGTCTTATTACTTATATCCTAATTTGTAAGCAGCAATGAAATAATAATGTCAAAAATTCTTTTTGTGCATATATATGTTTGACAGGGAATGTTTAAGTACAATAATTGAAGCAGACTGCAACTATAGTTACATTCGACAATATAAAACAATTTAATACATTTCTCGTATGCGAATATCGTCTATTTTCCTTAAATAAATTGTTGCGAATCGTGGCATCATTGCTTTTGCTGAAACTTTTGACTACAAAAATTATTTTTTTTTCTTAGCTTCTTCAAAAAAATCTGCTACAAAGAGCTCCAATACGACTCTAATTGAATGTTTGATTCGTATTGAGCAGATTTCGAATTTGATTTTACTTCTATACACTTGTCTGTAACTAATCTTTTCAAAGAAATTGATGTATATTAAGTTTAAGTTTAATATATAAAATTCTTTAACGAATAATTAATCTCAGCGATCACATATGTGTGTATATTATTTTATCAGAGATTTTGAAATATTTTTTAACTTTTTGTTTAATAATTATAAATATAAGTAATATAAATAATATAATAAAAAATATAAATAATATAATAATATAAATAATATAAATATAACAATAATAATTAAGAAAAAGATAAATTAATTTTTTTCGACTTCAATAAATCTGTTTCTGACGTTAAAAGGAAATTGTTGATTGAATACACGTTCCCAACATGCTCACATATGATTTAGACATATCTGTCACTTCCATTCCTGCTTCTAATATGGATCTATTTATAATAGTTACCCAAATTCCAGATTGAGACCAATTTATTGCGCGTTCAATCAAAATCATTGTCCAAATCTTCCATTACATTTACATGTGTATTTTTTTTCTTAATATATAATATAAAAATGACTGTCATCATATATTATTATGAAGTTATATTTACGCAAGCGGAAGTGCGCTTACACTAATGCTGTTACAGCTAAACAGATTAACCGCATATTCTAAGTATTCGAGAAATATTTGCACGCGTCACTAATTGCTTGTTGATATTATAGGGTAAAAGCTTGACGCGGCACAATGGCGCGTACATACAATGTCGATATCGGGATAGAAAGGATTAAAACGCGGCGCCACGTGAAATACGTTTACTATCTTGTTACAACGTCAATCAAAACGAACGGCAATAAATCATCAGCGTATCATATCCCACGGATCATGTACCAAAAACTCCACCGTATAGGTTGATAGCGCGTTAGATAGGCGCGTTACAATATTATCTTGCAGTAAAATGTAATAAATTTTCGTAACGCGCCGTCCGGTATTTTATACGCGAAGTATATATATATTTATCGCGCGCGTGGCGAGATATCCAAAATTAAATCGTTCGCGCCATCAGGCGATATAATAAAGAGACAGCGGTGTCGACTGTCATCATCGGGAACTCGGTCAAATCGAGCGGATATCGTTTGAATAGAGTGTACTCTAGCCCATTCGCTCCTTAAATTCCCCATCCTTTCGTCGTCGTCGTTTCTGGCTTCCGTCTGGCGTATGTCGCGCACGAGCTCTTATTAAAGGTGGCGATTTATCGCTAGTAATAACGGTGCGGTCTGGTACGAATATCTCCCGCCAAGCTTCCCTTGCCAAGCGGGAGAAGCAAGCTCGCGAAGAGGAAGAGGTCAGAAAGTAAGGGTTTATTCGCATCCTCTCGAGTGGGGGTGGGAAGCGAGGGGTAGTTGGCGGCGAGGCGGTGTGTTATCAAGCGTGCGTTAAGCGCGCGCGCGTTTTCCGGGGTAGATTAACAATTCCTGACATTTTAGTGGCGCTCCGGATGCGTTAACGCCACTTCAAGTACCGTAGTAGTGCTCGGCTGTAACGAGCTCCAGGATTGATTAACCGCCCCTGTCGAGCGACCCGCAACTACGGACTACTACGTGCCTCTCTAAGCAAACGAGACGACGGCCCGACGAAAGATGCGCGGAACTTATAATTACCGCTTGATTAATTGCCATTTTGACAGATAACTTGGAAACGGAGGGAATTTTTCACCGACTAGTCGCGTCTCGCTGGGCAACGAACGGTCTACTGTGTACGGTCTATGCGTCGATTAATCTTCTTAAAATATCGGACTCTATGTAAATTAGTCGACTGTCTGCCGACTTTTCGGACAGCCGTCGGACGGCCCGGCAGTTACGTTGAAATCTGGAAAATTGAAAATATTCATCACAGAAATAGAAGAATGCACGAAGCATACGCGAATCTCCGGGCATTCCGCGAATAAATGCACGGATATTCCATCGATTCGGCTGGCTTCCTCACTCGTGGATCTTCATAATGCGAAACCCAGCATCCAAGCACGCAAGCTTGAGATAAAGTAGAGACAGGTACGAGAGACAATCGACCGTGAAATTTATCGGAAACGATCGATTACAGATACTTGGCTCGGATTATATACGATCAGATATTTATTGACAGGTATTAATCGTAAGTTTCGAAGGCGGAATGTTAGTCTGAGAGAAAATCTTGATCGGTCAACAAGCGGCGTGATAGACAGCGGCAGGTGTTTGAGAGCAGTGATCGAACGATGGATCGTCCGAGCCGGGTTTGGATGGCGTATACAAGGAACAGGTCACCTGCTCAAGGGGTTAAGAAGACGAATAAGCATTATTCATACCGCGTGAACGCTTATCCTTAAGTTATTCATCTCATGAATTAGTAAACACGATGAGGAGAAGCTCTGGCTCGCGTGCATCGGCGCATCCCTACAAGGAGAAGCTTACTAGAATATTAAGTCCAACGAGAATTTTTTGTTTTCCGTGCTTGCCTCGTCTTCGGAAAGTGCCCGAAATTTTAAAATTAGTCAATAAAAATTCTATTCAATATTCCCGAAATTTTAAAATTAGTCAATAAAAATTATATTCAATATTGTAATAATGATCACTCCAAGAAATACTTGAGATTTATATATTTTTCTTTGCTAAAGCTTACAAAAAAAATTATAAGTTGATGAATATTTAAGAAAAGGACATATACTCATTGTAATAATATTAGTTCTTAAATTTCCCAAGAGATAATAATCAATAATAATCAATAATATTCTGTAGATTAAAAATATAACGCACGTATTTTCGTTTGATGAAATTTTCAAAGGTATAAAAGGACCTCAATATTCCCTCGTCCAGAACCGCAAGCCTTTCTATCGCGCTGGTCGGTAATATTTAAAGGAAGAGGAAATGACTTAGCGCGCGGCGAGAGCGAAATGGCTACCGCTCGCCTCTCGTCATGACATCGCCGAACGGCTATAGGCTGGAAATAGATTACAAACGTAATATTTCAAGCGTCGTAAATATATCCCCCGCTGCCGGTGCGATCTGTGAACCTTTCGTGCTTTTTCGTCCTTTTTCTCTGACGTTCGTCTGAGCGTCGACTGGCAGAGTGCGACGTCGCGATCTAATTGGGATAAGAAGAATTTTTGTGCCGAGTGGCCCCTTAATTGGTTGCTCGTCATTAAGAGCAGTCTCGCAACTCTAATTATCATTGCGTAAACCTTAGCACGTCAAGGCATCCTTGAGTCTCTCGTGAACTTTGGAATGTAGTTGAATTTGTCATGCAATAAGATGACTCATTTGTATCAAGCATGTTTTACAATTTTATTTTCGAAATATATTTAAATATAAAATTTCGCTTTATACTCTCAATTTAAATATTTAAATTGATGACAATCGAAATAACAAATAACAAATATGGTTATATACGATTTTTTTTGCAAGGACAATACAAGATCTAGTAAAAATGTTGCCCGTATAAGGCAGCTAAAACTTTGACATTGATAATATCTTGTAAAGAACATATATCTTCAATAGATTGAACTTGGTGAAATATATATTATAAATATATATTATATAAAATATATATAAATATATATTATATTAAATATATATTAAATATATATTATACAAGATATTATCAATATGTAGATAATTGAAGGCATTTATATAATATTATAAACAGTAGTGGAGTTACACATAAACATACATAGATATACAGAGTATAGATTTACTGATTAATATTAATAAAATTATCAAAAAAATGATGGCAATGTCACGTCGAGTAAAAAAATTTATGTAAATATATGAGTCGTCATAGATAGTCGAAATCGCGAACATACGCACATGTCTTTTGTAAGAAATTATCTTAATATACTAGCATAATTTGTCATCTAACTTGCAATAGTTTTTCATTTTAGTAAGATAGGTTCTTTTTTGTAAAAAGAAAAATGTTTTTGAATTATTTAATAAGGAGACTACGAGAATATGTGACTATGCGAAAATAGTCTCAATCTAAGTTTTCGTTTCTTGTTGCTGCTGCTGTTGCTGTTGTCCTTCGTCGGCGTCCCAATCTTCCACCTCCGCAGGCGGATAATTCCACGGTTGAATTTTGGCCGATCCGAAAATCGCAAATATCACGAATGCTGAAACCTGGGCGACAATCGTGATCCAGAACGCGACTCTCCAACGCGCCATAGTGTGCTGTAGGGGAATATAAATAAACAAATTAAATAAATAATAGAAATCAAAAATTAAATACGATATACCATATACGATAATTTCTCTCTCTCATAAACGCGATGATATAATAAAATAGATAAACAAGATATTGAACATTAGTTTTATCTCTACACTTTAAAATACGTATGTTGTAAGAAATTTAATCTGAATATCTTGCAATTACTTGATAATTTTCTGAGAAATTACTTTGGAAATTACTTTACGATGAGAAGCAAATAATATAACGTTATAAATCTCATTCTCTATCTTTTAATGTTGTACGATAAAGTTAAGTTTGCAGTTGATTGTGCAATTAGGATTCAGTGTCTCCCGGAGAAAATGTCAACTTAACTTCCTTATCGGCTTAAAGCCGTTCCACTTTCAGTAAAACTTGAGAAAAGTGGAATTCGCGCGGATAACTTATTAAAGATTCGAAGAAATCGACGATTACATCATGTTGTTCTTAGCAGACATTTCTCGATCGCGTTAACGTTTTTTCTATAATTGGCGTTAGAAATGTTCACTCACTCCTTCCGCTACGAGGGCACCGACTATCGGCGGCAGGATAAAGGCGGATATGGTGCCCGGGGTATTTGTGATGCCCATGAGAATTCCCGCATAATTCGGGGCCAGGTCGTTCTGATTACAAAGGTGACCGACGAATATAGCACCGCAGACTACTATGCTCAAAGTTAGCAGCACGGTCGATGTCACGCGATCGCAGCCAATGTACGCGATAATAACTAGAAAAATGCTAGGCGGTATAGTACCTGAAACAGAAAAAGACGTCGGATTATGTATGAAATTACGAGAATAACGAGTTTTATGTGAAACTAATAATGTGAGAGTAAAATGTATTTTTTCAAACCACATGATACACTGATGTAAGAATCTATACGATGTAATGTACTATTCAATATCAATATTACGCAAACCGATTTTAAACATTGTTATTAGAAGTAGCACAAAAGCATAATGTCACATTGATTCATATCCGGAATTACGTAAAAAAATTTGTAAACAATATCTCATCTTTATTCCATTAATATGTAAATTACATGTATGCTCAAGTTTGTGTCATAGTATCCGCTAATACAATTGTTGGTGCTAAAAATAAGAAAGAAAGATTACCTATAACTGCGTTTTTAATTATTTAAGCAATTAATATTAAAAGAAAACAGTGCAAAAGAAAGTATTTTATATTTATTAATCTTGTTTTATTTTTATAGACACTGTAATATCTTATCAAAAATTATAATAATTTTAATGAATATATATATTTGATGGAATTCTACTATTTTATTCTATAAGACCACTTATAAGCTATTCATTTTTAACTTTGAATGAAGAAGGAATCTCTATTTATATATGTAATAATTTTTGGGGGAGAATGAAGTCTGCAATAATTTATTTTGCATTTGAAATACGTACTTATGAATACCGCAATTTTACGAGCAACCGTCTGCGACCAATATCCCCTTTTCCGTCCCCAATCTAAAACTCTTCCGATTAGCGGATTAGTGAAGGCATTTACGAGATATGGCGTGCAGACAATAGCGGAGTTCTATATAAAACAGATTGAGAATATTTACATACAAGTTGAAAGTTATATTTTATAAACTGTGTGTGTAGAAAGTTTTGCAGAACAAAATTAATATTATAGTGTATATTATAAAAGTGTATATTATAAAATATAATTTTATGCTTATAATAACTTTAATAATAACTTAAAATAAGAGAATTTAGTATTTTCATTTAAGTAAAATAATTTATGCCTACAGCAAAATAAAGAAAAAGATTACTTTCATCGTAGACTTACCGATGTGATATCGTATCGCAAAATCTTGTTCATGTAAAGCGGTAACTGGGTGAGTAAGAAGTACCAGCAAAAGTTGCCTAGAGTATTAGTGGCGATTAGCGCCAAAAATGGCACCGACGTGAATATGCTCTTCCAGGGGATCTCCATCTTCGCGGAGCCGGGCGTACGATGGCCGTACGAATTGACGATGAACGATCTCTCCTGCTCCGATATGTACTTTTGCTCTTCCGGACAGCCGGCGAAAAATATATAAAAGACGATGCACCAAATCAACGGTAACGTTCCGTGGATGTAGAAAATAGCTTCCCAGCCCACGAAATTTAATATCATTCCCGAGGTAAGAATAGATACCACGGTGCCGAGCGACGTGCCGGCGTATATGATACCGACCCACGTGCTCTTCTCCTCGTACACAACCCATGTGCCCAAGAGAACGTTCACTATAGGAAGATTCGCCGCGCTCACGAGGCCGGTTAAAAATCTCACCAAGTATAGTACGTACAGTGAGTTCGCGGAAACCGGTACCAATATCGTTAAGACCCCGTTCGCCAGTACGCAGAATAGCAATACGAACTTGGTGTTGAACCTGCGCATCGAAGAATAATATATTCATTAGAAATAAAGATATGCGTTTAAGACAAAAAAATATATTATATATATTAATTAAATTAATTTTTTTTAATTATATTTATAGGAGAAAAAATTTGTTTACATGGGAAGAAATATAATTGGTGAGGTTCTTTCTCTACAATTACTTACCGATCCGCCAAATATCCCGACGGAAACATACCGACGAGATATCCGGCAAAATAAATGCTAATGACCAGGCCTTGCTCTCTTGACGACCAATCGAACGGACCATCAATGTCAGTTTTTTGTGGATCAAATTCAGCATCAAATTCTGGACATTCATTCGACCAATCTTCTGCGCCATTTTTCTTTTTCACCATACCGATAATAGCCGTCGCGATATTCACCTTCAGACCGTAAATAATCATATTCGCAATGCATAGCATTATAGCGAACAAGTATCTTACGCGTATCTCTAAAATTGTTATTGCAAGAGAATAGCGTTAATTTCGGAAATGCAGGAAATAATCAATTAATAGTAATTTAATGTTCGATCAATAGTATATTACATCTAAGTCTTATGATTAATCGAGATTAATCAACTCGTTTTTAATAATTATTTTAAGAATATTAGTGACAATCAATAGCTGAAATTTTGCAAGCTACTTTAAAATAATTTACATATTTATTTATATACATATGTACATAAATTATGTAATATTATAGATATGTATCAATGTAGATTAAAACGATATTATATGGCACAAATATAAATTGCATAGGCATAAATATAAATTATTCTACTCGCGTAATTAAACAACGTGCAAGCGCGCGCGGATATTATTTTAATAAATTACGAAAATCATTTTTATGGTTATAGATATGTAAAATAACACGTAGTAAAAACAGAAGAGAATTCACCCGTTTAATCTGTATTAACCTAACAAATTATAATGCGCTAACTATCACAAAATACACGAGGAAATAATACGCATGTGTGCGTACACAAAATAAATTCACTAGCAGACTCACGAATAATAAATTATTCCTTCCTAATAAGATAAGCTAAAAATTAATTTTTATACATGTAATTTTCTAAATTATTATGCACACATTTCCATTAGAAAAATCTTGCGTAAAAATAGAAGCAGCATCGAATATTCAAGGCAAATGATAATAAAATAACGCGATTTATTGTTTATATGTGTAAACAAGTCAAATATAAATTTCTTTTATACCACGCATTCTAGATAGCACGCTCAAGAGAGATAATAAAATTAAAATTATTGCTTGCAAAATTCCGCATCTATGTAGACACTAATAAAACGGGGAATATTTTCTTACCCATCGTTTTGAATATTCAATGTGACCTCGGTTAATGAGTCGACAACATCGATGATCATCACGTTTCAAACCGTCGTCAGTGTTACTGTTTTCGTATCGTTTGTTTTTTCCTATCGATACATTATCATCACTAGCTTCAGAATTTTATGCGACTTCGCTCTTCGCTTTCGTTCGCGCACCCAGCTTGATGACGACTATCAAAGTGTATCACTGACGAAGAGACGACACCCGGTACGATGACATCCAGAGATTCCTCCTCCACGAACGTCTTTTTTAAACTTGTGTGCCGACTCCGAGTCGAATTACTCCTATCGACGTGCGATTAAGCTGCTGCGAGAGACAAGAGCGTACTGCCAGTCATTTGCAAAGTCAATAGTCCGATATGTTTTACGACCTTACATACGATTCCTCTCGTAAATACGTTACGCCGACGCGATAACAGTTACGTGCATATATTAAGGTTACAAAGTTGCTATGTGGAAAGTTTCGTTTTCAAATGGCAAGCGACGTTTCATATACAAAGACAGTTGTCCTTTATATTTTTTAGATACATATACACGCGCCAGTTTGCTTTCAATATCGCACTTAAGCAATGGTCGATATTTCCATTTTCAATGTCAAGTCTTTAAATATGTTCGTTTATTAAATGTAAAATAACATTCTTACGCGAATTTCCAGTGCTACACTTATCTGTAAAAACTGACACAATATTCTTTGAAAACTTTAAAATACGATATCACAATATAAATATTTATACTTATACTGTGACAATAAAATATAAATCTTTTCCGCACCGTATTATACTTTATCAATTTCAGTTTATGAGACTGATATCGTGATCTTGAAACTATCTTTACAATATTTACTCAATATCTACACGATGTCGAAATTGTTAACATTCATTAAAATTATGAAGCTAATATTTTCCTTTTCGTTTAATGAAAATTTACCAATCGATATCTGTTGTAAATATTTCCACTAAAAATCTTTTTCAAAGTAAAAGAATTTAGTAGATGAGTCATGATAGTTTCAAAATACTGTATAAATAATTTCAAGAAACATTAAGAATATATTATATATTTCAATGTCACAGTGTGATATGATGTGTGAGAGAAATGATAAAAGATAACAGTATAGACTATTTGATGACGCATGCACGATTGTTACTGGAACTAGGTATAACGGAATGTGTGAGTTACTCTACAAAAGACAGTTCGACACGAATTGACCGGCGGTCACACAGTCACTAAACTAGATTATGGAAACGGATGCGTTTTAACTTTCAGTTAATTTGCACCGTCAGTGGTTCTATAATATAAACAAGACTGCCTTGTATTTGCCACGTCATTACATGGAATCGATTTGAGCGACGATTTTATCTGCCGTTGCATAAATGCCATATTTACAGAATTACTTAGTACAATTGCATAATCATGAAAAAATTTCAAGAACCTTGCCGAATTTTGCTACATACTGTATATACATCATAATAAATAAGATAAAATAATAATGTAATAAAATTATAAATCATAAAAAAAATCAAACATTCATTATAAATAATAAATAATTATAGATAACAAAATAAAAATAAATAATAATAAAAAATAAATAATTAAAAATAAATAAATAATTATAGATAACAAAATAAAAATATAAAATAAATAGATAACAAAATAATTATAGATAACAAAAACATATAGATAATAAATAATTATAGATAATGACAGAAACATATAGATAATAAATAACAATAGCATGTGTTATACAATATAACATTTAATTATAATTCATAAATGACGAAAAAAATATTATAAATAACAAATAACCACGAAACATATAATTGACATACAATTAATAATTAAATGTTAAATAAATGACTGATTAAAATAACAGCAGTTTGGCATATTTGCAGTCGTGTGACTAGTTGACTTTCAAGGTGATCTTGTGAGATGGCTCACCCTTTTTTTACTCGTTGAAAATGAAATTCCGACGGGATAGCACAGTGCTGCACCAATCGCTCTTCTCTCAAACCGGTCTTGGTCTGCGAATTCACACCGTTACTCGCGCGATAATTAAAGCCAAGTGCGCCTCTATTTTTGATTGTACAATCGTCGACAGTGTTCCGTCTTCCCTGGCAGTTGAAGATACGCAAGGTCTTACTCGCGCGATATCCAACGTGGATGTTCCGGCCGTTATCTCGATGAGTAGCCGGGTACCGAGGCTCTCTCCCTTCCTCTTGCTGCGACACGGTGGCACACGATATACACCGTACATTCTTAACAGATATCCGTCGGCGAGACGCCGCGCTTAATGTTTACGGGCTGAGGATAATGGGGTCTCCCCGGTGAGCCCGTGTCCAGACGGATGAGAAACGTTCCGGAGCGCATCCTGAGACGACCTCCCGCCGATCACGACAACAGTCTACGGATATCTAGACACATCCGTAACGCCCACCGAATTATATTCAACACGCACGCGTCATCCTTTTCCGTCGACCGATTTCAGATAAACTAGGTAGATTGCTGTAATAATGGCTACACGATTATCTTTCTGTTTATTGCGCATCGTGCATCACACGTCGTTAAAGAGAGATGAATGAACGCCTTTCCGACATAAATCTATTTTATTTTGACAGCTATGTTTACACGATTTTTTACAATAGGGAATATGGAATTCATATAAAAATTAATAATAAATATTTCCAAAATATTGTAAACATGTTTATGCTTTTTGCTACGTTATTTCGAAATAATACGTTTTTTATCGCCGCACTCTTATGTGTATATTCCATATTTGTGAGAGATAATCAACCAGACGCATTCACTGTGAAAAATAGGTCTTACGTAATAATAATTGAGGGAAGAAAGAGAGGGAAAGAGAGAGAGAGAAGAGAAAAAGAAGATTAAGAAAACGATATAAAACTTTGTAGCTCTTTTCGAAGATGATTTTTATTTGAAAAGTATCACACATATATTATAAATACTGTGCATTATTGAGAGGTATCATTCTATGCGTATCAAATTCGCATATTAACGCATAATTATCGCACATATATATATAATGAGAATAATATATCTATTTGTTTATTTAACGTAGAGATAATATAAATGCACATTATTTATTATATAAATACCACAATATACATCCGTGCCGTTTGATTTTAATTTGATGGAAAATTAGATGAATTTTATATAGCATTTTATATGAGTAGGATATCATTCTTCTTTTTAAATTTCAAGATGCAAGATAAAACAGTTTACATGTAAATCTGAACGAGTATTTCAAGATAAAAATAAGAGTCAATTTACAATTATGTACGCTAATCTATAACATTGATAACTTGAATTTTATGTAATATGCTCTTTCTCTCTTTCTCTCTCTCTCTCTCTCTCTGTCTCTCTCTTTCTCATTAGTCAGCGAATTTTATATAAAACAGTCTATGTTCGATACGCACAGGAAACTTTGACCCTTGACGTCGTATCTCGCATTAAATTTACAAATACTCAATGTAATCTCTTTCATTCAGCAGCAACCGAAGTTTTTAACGTAACGTTATCGCGTGATGTCGCATCTCGTGCTTTCTTCTCCTCTCGCGGTGCAAAACCGCATACGTTTCTGCATCGTTCGCCGGCTGATGGGCAACGGCGGACACAAAACGGTGGACAATATATAACGACACGCCACCGACCATCGCAAAATATTTTTACCAGACCGCGGTCTCTTTCGTGCGGTAAGCATGTGACAAGCGTGACGAAACGTTCGTAGAAACGAGAAGCGCACGGAACGGAAGTGGTTGCCGCGGCAGTTTCGTGATGATGACGACGACGACGACGACGACGACGACGGCGAAGCTTGGGGACGCACGAGTTGCCACCATCCTCGCGTCTCTTCTGGGTTTATTCGGCCCAGCGCACACCTGCATTCGTACCCGGGGTGAATGCTCTACCTGCTAGAGGAATATGGCAGGTCGGGAGAGGGCTGCCGGCGAATCCACTCGAGAAAACGCAAAGCTTCGCGCACACCGATAAAAATGGATACGTCGCGACATCCGAGACAAGTGGAGAGAAAAAAAGAGAAAAGAAAGGGAGTAAAAATGCGACAGGACCGCGAAAAAAAAAATGGAAAAGTGCACTCGAAACGGAGAGAAAAACATCGACCGGGGAGAGAACGACACTTTGCGTCGATTAAAGAGACTCGAAGGACTCTCGGGACGCGACCGGACAATGGCGTCGATCGCGCGGTTAGTTTGTGAAAATCTCGGAGCGAAACTATGGACCCCGCGCGCGAAGGATTTCGGGGACACTTCAACCGGTTTGTATTGTAGAGGCGTTTCGGGCCTGCTGACTCTGTCCGCAGTGTAAACACACGACTCTCGAAACCACCGCTACTTCCAGACCCGTCGGAGACTCGTATCCCGGCCGAATACCAATTAGCTTTTGCCGCTGCTGTTGCTACAGGTTAAAGCGGATTGACTAACGAGCGAGATGCTCCTAACATTCTTTAATTTTCCCCCGTTTACTCGGACCACCTGCTATGAAAAGATGTCAAACCGACATGAAACAGGCCCTATTCGTTTTAATTGATTCACGGTTCATTCATTATCATGTTGGATAATTAGAGTTAAAATATTGAAACTTACCTGTCAAATCGCAAAATAAATGATGAAATTATACGATAATAAAATCAAACATCCATCACTTGTTTAGTATTTTAAGAATGCTTTGTACCTATTTTCAAAATATTGAGAATTTAATGAAAATTGTACAGAATGTCCTTACATATGTTTAGAATCTTTGGTACAATTTTTAAATCGATTCACTAAGGCGTTCACAAGTTATAAGGATTTTAATTTGCACCGAATTAACATGTGTTCTTATGGGAAACGTACAACCACGTCGATTCAAATTAACAAAATATTTCAATTAATAAAATTCGGAATATTTCAGTAAAAACGCGATAAAATATTAAAAAATACTCTGCACTGTAGCTAAGATCAAATTGTAATATTTCACACAATTTCTCATAATCAAAATATACCAAAAGTGGATATATTCATCAATATTGATTTTCAGCTACTTTTTGCTGGAATTATACATATAAAACATCCTTAAGGCAAAGCGACAAATTTTCAATTTAATTAACAAATTAATAAATTAATAATATTATATTTATTAATTATATTTATTAATAAATTAATAAATAAATTAATAAATTTTCATTTTTTTTTAGCAGGTGCAAATTTAACTATTTTTAATTATCATCATGATACGATAAATAATATAAGACAGCATTAATAAAATAAAAAAAAATAAGTCAGAATAGTAGATAATAATTTTTTTTAATGTTCAATCAATTTAAATTCTGCTTGAATTTCCAAAGAAATCGCTTCAAACAGACTTATACGAGAGTACGATTAATTTGCAGATCAAAGGAAGAAAATTTTAAACAAATGCAACGCGTACATTTGAAGGAAGAAGCGTGGCGGATCGAAGGCAATGTATCATCTCTCGCTATCTTTCGCAAAGTCTCCGCGCGCGTTTTCCGCATCGTATTCAAACGAAACGGACAGAGTGCTCGTATCCCGTCCGAACGAAGAAGCGCACGCGCGGCATACATTTCGCTTCGCGAGATAAAAAAGAGAGAGAGAGAGGAGGATGGGAAACACAAATGCGCGGGGGAGACGAAGAGATGATATATGCGGACATTAGTTATACACGAGATGTATGAGGTTTCGCGTGGCGTCACTCTCTGCCACTGTCAGATTCCGGCCAGAAGCGCTGCTCTCTCCTCCCGACATAATCGGAACGACCCATATTTCCCCGCCGCAATGCGTCAAGCCGCGCGGAGCCGTGTGCGATTCCCCTCCGCGTGCTTTCCGTACCTTCATTTTTCACTCAACCGCCCTCAACCGTGATCTCTCCCGCGCCCAAATTCACCTTCCGTGTCGTCGCCGTCGTCGCGAACGTCTACCGCGAACGTTTTCTCGCTCCCTTCCCCGGCCCTCTTTCCTCAGCCGGCACGACTCACCGACGTCGCGACGATTGTACATCGCTTCCGGTAAAATTCTCCCTAGAATACGGGAGCCCCACGCCTCCTCTTCCACCGATCGAGAGACGAATCGATTCGCGAAAATGCCGCCGGCGCAGCCGACGACAGTTCGAAGCGTCGTGGCAAATATTGGCCGAGCATTTTCTATCTATTTTGACACTACGGGCGTATCTACTTTGACAAGTGAGCCGATGCGCAAAGTAGCAAGACAGAAGTTTACGGTCACTCACCGAGTTTTCTCTTCGAGAGAAAGAAATGAAGGCAAAATTTGGATAAAGAGTAAATGAATAATATAAGAAATGGATGCCTTCAACGATTATGTAAAAGCTAAAAACAATTTTATCTTCTAGCGGCAGCTTGTCACCTTTTTAGTTTCGAATTTTCCCTAATGTATGCATGCATTTAGATTTTTAAAATATCGATTTTTTTTCATAAATAGGTCGTGATTATACATGCACGGTATGTTGTTATTATTATATTCTCAGGATCTCTCTCGTAGCGACGTTGCGTTGACGCATCAGTATGAATGCATGTAAATGCTATAACCAGAGCTGCTGGAAAACCTTTCTTGTAGAAGAGCATTGGATTATACCGGAGGCTGGGGGGGGGGAAGGGGTAGGCAGAGTCTATCCTGATGAAGACCGTCGATATCGATTTTTCGTTAGAGAATGAAAAATGCAGCCGCTGCTTCGTAAAATATGTGCACTTTATCTTACGCGCTAGGAAATGCATGCGTCACGACATTACGCAGACGATGGTGCTATTGAACGGCCATAAAACGTTTGTTTGTTCGGCGAGTTTACACAGCTTTCATAGTTCAACGGCAGCCGTCGGTCGGACCGACTGTCACTGAATGAAATGCTAACGATGATGGACGACCGCGCGAGGATCTCTTTCTTCCGTTTGATCCGTAGGGAGAAAAGGGACGTCAGTAATTTGTACGCAGTAGCCGAGTTATCGAGAAGTTGCGCGTTTCAAAAATACCCCGTAATTAAATGTGATTTGCATTACAATCTTGACGTTTATATCCGCCATGGGTCATAATGACATTATTATTCATTCTAATACGTCCGTTCATGCGTACGTATTCATAAGTCGTAGAAATCGTCCACATTTATTTTCTTCATCGCGTCGTAATTTTTTCAATATTATTAATGACACAAAATTCGTGTAATTTAATCTATGATCCCACGCGATGCAATTATATTTAGCTTTCCGTGAAGGAATTTTTCATAAACTTTCTTCTTTTATGTTCAAGGTAAATGCTAAAACCGCTCATTATTGAGAGATATCGCAATGATATGTTCATTTGTGACGTAAGCAATCGTTTGAATTTGAAACAAAGAAACGACTG